TATAATTGTCTACCTTTGGAAAAAAGACACCTTTCAGAAATGACTGTCACTAACCTGTATGCTCATGAGATTCAAAGAGATTCATGAGATTCATTTTTTACCTAATGTACAGGGCCATTATCATATTTTGCATGAGTAATCTCTTACCTGCCATTTGCATTTACTGGAATTTGTAACAGCTATTTGTTTTGTGAATCACTGCCATGTTAGACGATGTGAATTGTAAGGAAAGGATTTTAGAAAGGAGTTCTTGGGCTCACTTTTCAGTTTTCACAACTTCTTTAACAAGCTGCAACTGTCCTTAAAAAAAGTGTATGAAGAGCTGAAGGTGAGCTACCACATTTCATGGTGCACTGTGAGGGTGAGTTAATGGAAATAGTCCAAATTCCACACACATTAGCAAGCTCTCAGTGTCACATTCCTTTTTTCAATGCGCCGGAGACGCTATTTTTTTCGCATGTTACATTTTTTCCCATTACTGAGAGAATCATGTTCCTGTGCAAAAAAAATATTGTTTCAAATATTATCTGTGAATTAAATATTTATTGCTGTTTATTTGGATGAAAGATTCATTAAACCTCAAGTTAGTTCGAGTTTATACTAATACTAATACATATTACACTGAATAAATCTCATAATATCACAGCCAATGACAAACATTATCTGGAATTTTTCAAAACTACAGTCCTTCCACTCAAACACTTCACAATTAATAGAACATTGTAGTCATTGTAGTCTGCACAACGTATGACTCATTTAGCCTTAAGCGGTAACAACTCAAAGCATATACCCAACCCCTGCACGAGTTCTAGAAGAAGGGTGGAATCTGTGAATGAATGGAGAGATTATGTTACCGTTGAATGCTCGGGGAATGCTGGGATCAAAGGGTACAAACACTTTTGTTAGCTAGGTAGAATGCTTATTTACCACCTCTACTGGCTTGATCTCTAAACACTACAAGCAATATACTGATGAAGATGATGGTGATTCCACCTGCTTTAGCAATCAGCTACAGGAATTTCTGTCACTTCATTAATTCTCATACATCTCTCAAATTCATGTTAATGCACTGTATCTTCTACCATTCTTCCTTTGCTTGACAAGATCCTATTAAGTATGTGGAGCTGAAAACCTCTATGTATTACAAACCCCTGATTCACACAGAAATCTGTTTTACGACTCCCTCTGTCTCAACCATTCTAAAAACCCTCTTTCTTTCACTCACTTTATAGTTTATGTAGCAATCAGACTGACTTCCAAAACCAAACACTTAAAATGTGGTCTTTTCTAACCCCTGTCAGTTATCCTTTGTGGATTGTTTGAAGCGCTGAGAGGGCCCTCACCTTAAAAAAAATGTTCTATTAACTTGAGCAACACAGAAAAAAAAAAAGAATTGGATGACTATTTCAGGGAACAAGGTCAGGGCACTGAGGATTAAAGATGTCTCCAAATTGATAGTCCTTCTTTTACCTCTTCCATTTCTATTTACACTGGCCTTTCAGTCTCTGTCACCTCAGAGGGAGTCAAAGGCTAATATTCCTGCTGAGCAGACTCCGAAAAGACATCACTGGAAGCTACAATGATCCTTACACGTCATTCACACATATCCCAGCACTCAGTGATTGACTTATCTCTTTCCAATCTCTCCTTTCATTTACAGATTAATGTAATTGCCCAGATTTCCATTTCTTTAGCTCCCTTTTTGCATTCTCCCACCTATTCACATATTTTCTTTTGTCTTCCCTACCACATCCCTATGCCTCTTATTCCTGCTCTGTCCCTCTGCCATCTACAGCAATGAAAACCTCTCAGCAGCCAAAACATTGCATTCGTCTCTCTTTTTAAATGATTTCATTGTGGATTTAACCCCTTTCTTGCTCCTCTAAACTAATGCTATCAGTGCTTTCCATCTGTTTCTGTGCACACTTTTCAGGAATGATTAAACACATGGAGAAAATAAAACCTAACGGGCTCTATTTGCAAATCTGGATATTTAACACTTCCAGAGGTCATTAACGAGCACTTGTAAGATGTTTGGAGTGTAAACACTACTGATTTCAGAAAACATTTCTTCTGTTGGAAGGTTAGAGTGGCTGATGAAAATCTAAACAAAACAGCAGAGAATTTGAAGACACACTGTATCAAATAAGAAGCATGATTTTTGATATACCCCATCTATTCTTGGTGTCGTGTTTCAAAGGAAGACACAAACAACATGACTCAGGTGAAAAAAGCATACTTCGCAGTACTGAACAATTATTACAGGGACCAGAGGGCATTTTTCTATCTGTACTCAAAGAAATCAGGTGTGCTATTCATGGATTGTTGTATAACATATTTTATCTGTCACTTCGAACAGAGTTTGGCTTTTTAACATGGCTCAACCGGAGAAGTGCAAAAGAAGGAACCATCTTTGAGAAACTAGGAATCACAAAACTAAACCATGTAATAACAGATATATTCACAGGTCTTCAATCAATTACATGTAAAACATGGTGACAACTGATTAGTGGTAAACTATAAACTAGATTATGGTGAGATCCAGCATCCTATAGAGTCAACATAGCTTTAGATAAAGTTTATATTACTAGAATCTTTACCAAACAAGAAAGGTAAGCCAAATGTCCTTATTAAATATATTGTAATTTCATATATTTCAGTTACAATGTATCTTTTAGATAAAACTTATGATTTTTGTTTGTTAAAAACACTTTAAAAGTGCTTTTAAACATTTCATGTCATTCATGCAGTAATATAGGAATATGAATTTATGCATTAATTATTAAAACTAGATAACACATGTATTATGGGACCACTTAAATGTCTATACAACAACAGTTTGTATACTATATACTATAATCACTAGAGATGTGCATTCACCTCCATGGATATGGTACAAACAGCCGCAGAGTGATATCACCAGTATTTTGTTTCAATGGGACAGACAATTGCACAATATCCTCTAACCGATTACATCAGAAGGTTGGCATCCACTACTTTAAACAATGTCTGTTCAGGCTGGGGTCTGTGAAAGGGATATAAGGTTGGTGTTTCCAGGACAATGAAAAAATAAAAGACAAGATCAAGGATTCAGTCACCTTTTAAATAATCTGATTATTCCACTTTTGATAGTTCCAAGGCTTGGCACCCTTTATGCCAGGTCATTTCTTCACCCTTTGGCACTTAAAACTGGCAGAGTGGTCAGTTTGAAACCTAGGCCTATGGTCCAACCATCTGTAAATGTAAATTATGTAATTGTAGCAAAACCTTTGTTGACCAAAAAATCCATACTATTTATCTCCAAGTCTTCTTGTTTCTAAGGTCAGTATTAATTGAACTTTTTCACTGTACCTTCTTGGGACAAATGTTTTGCTGGAACAGTACGACACCCCTTTTAGTGGTTTCATTGTACTTTCTAGAGCCTGTGTGCTATTTTTAGCTCTGTCTTGCAGCCGTGAGATAATATTTGCTAATTGTATGGCTTGTTGACTCTTTCTAGTTTACTTGGTTCATGTAGGGCCACCACAAAGTATTTTCTTTTAAAACAGAACACAAACACTTTGTGAACACAAAATACTAAAGAAAATTGTTTTGCTACACTTGATTTTAATATGATCAATGTTTTTAGAAACACAGATTTATTGTGGGGACTGTTTCCCTCCCCAGATACAAAATACCTGTTCATTGCAAAGTTGTGAAACACAGCTTTTGGCACTCAAATTAGTCAGTACAATATTCACATGAAAAAAAAAAAACAGTCTCAAATATAATTTGCTCAGAATAAAAACACTATCCGGATAAATGTATTAATAATTTAAAGTTGCATTCTTCAGATGCGGTATTTCTAGATGAAATCTTCCATGTGGACCTCTGGCAAAAGCCTCCTAAAAGTCCATCTTAATTTGTTGCCTTACGTAGCACCTAGAATACGTGTAAGACATTTAAATACTACCTCTAATTTTACTAATGATGCGCGGCCCTGGGAGTGTAACTACATAATACTCCACTTCACCCATTAAAGAGTTTTGACTCTATTGCTTAGCATACATTTACTGTTAAACATCTATATAGGTTACATTTTCATGGTATTACACATTCTTCTTTTCGAAGGTGGATGAGAAATTGCTTGTTTTCAGTTTAGCGTAATGCCTTGTTTTTTTAATACTAAACATAATAGTCGTTCGATTGCTAGCTTCCTTAAGGAATAAAAGATTCTGAGTACTGTGACATTTGCTTGTTTTCAGTAACGCTAGCTCCTGTGGTAGTAAGCTGTTTCCCCCGGGTATGTTTGTGTAAACTATTTCAGTTTGATAGTTTTTGTTATGCAAACATAAATTAGTTCCTGAATATGGCCACACTTTTCTTGTCCTCAAGTTACTTAAACTTGCCCAATTGTTGCATTGTCGAACTTCCTATTTTCTTTCCTAAATGGGAAAAAGTACACCCCACCCCAACAAAAAACGGGAAAAAAAAAACAGAAACTGTAAAATTATGTTGATGTTTTGCATTTTCTGAACTTGATCTTCTTCAATGTGTCAGAAATATTCATGAAAAATAACTAAGTATGCTCAATCAGCGCTTTTTAAGTATGCAGCAGTTTTGGGGGCAGATATCGGTTAGCATTTTAGAATGACAGAAATCTTTGCTGAGAGCGAAAAGCTATACTATCCATTAAGATTCTCGCAAGGTCAAAATTTGCCGGGCGTCCGGCTCAAAAACTGAAGAAACTAGTTTCAACAGGACAGCCGGAAGCTAGGGCATGTACCATAATTCTAAAAAATGTGGGGGGGGACAGTAGCTTTCAATTAAGATAATATGTTATTTATATTGCATAACATATAAGGTGGTGTAGAGAGTATGTACTGTATTACAATATCTTCTTTATTTTTCGATATTAAAGAGGTGGAGTTATATTAAGTCTTACTTGCATTCCGCTGTTGTAACAAGTCCCCCCCATATATGGACGTGTCTGCCAGTTTTCCCAGACAAATGTCCAGAGATTCCTTCAGTCGGGATTTAACAGGAGGTGTTTGAAGTTGTGTGATTAGTTTCGTTAGTGTTATTTATATGTCTAGTTTGCGGGGCACAAACTGGAATCGACGGACTATTTTCATTAGAGGACTTTTTTATTATACGGAAGCATGATTTTTTGAAACCTCTGGACGAATGAGCAAAATGACAGCCTTGATCTTTAAATTGGTAAGATTTTATGTTTAAAATAGTTTAAAGTGTTTTAACGCCGCTTACGTCGATTTGGTTTGTTTATTTTTTATGTTCTTGTTTTGGCTGATGTTAAAGTTTGTTTTTTTTTTGTAGTTGAACTCTCCCGCAGAACATGCCCGACACGTTTCTTTCTAGTTCTGTTACTGGTGTTAGAACTTTTTTTTAACAACTTTTCGGGAAGCCCTTACTGTTTTAACGAACACGACCTTTGAAGGGACTATTCAGTCACCTTACTCAGGTTAGCGAGTGGTATCGCAAATTCAGATCATCCCCTTCTTTAGTCATACATAATAAAGAAAAACTGAGGTAGGAATGTAAGTCATTTGGCGTGTTTGCGTGATATTCGGACCAATTTACAGATACGGTTTTGAGTGGTAAATGGGGTGACGTCTTCAAATAAGTTGTAAAGTCCTATAACTTTCAAGGACCATGGTTTGTCATTGCTAACTGAATTGTTCAAATCTTTACACTTCTTAAGATATAGGGTGATTTACTAGTCTCTAGTTCTACAGGTTAGGGGTTAAACTAAGCTTGGGAACGGGTGTTACCCACCACAACCTTCACCTGTGCGTTTTTTTTTTGCATCGAAACCCTCTACTACTACTATCCAGCAACAATTAAAGAATTGCGAAAATTCTTTTAAATGAACTCTGATTTCAAAATTATATATCGCACTTTTAATACCTCGGCATTGCACCAGATGTAGGTTATAGATTTACTTATTAATGCATTCATTAGAAAAATTTAAAAAATCCAATTATTTCTTAGCCACTTTGTCATTTTTACTACAATGGCACTTACACATTGTCGACTACCTGACACCACATTTCTGAGAGAAGCGTATTTCCTTACTTTTGAGAACGACTTTTGATGCTTCTTGCTAGCAGGTGCGCCCAAACCTTTTGGGGATGGTTCCACAATGTTGTAGGTTATCCTAAATCATTTCTAAAACGACTTTTATTACAATGAGTATACATCTAGCAATTTTAGGCTTATTTTAAAAAATGTCGGGCATGTCCCGACTTGCTTTTATCAGTGTTTTGCAGGCGTGATAACATTACTGCAGCATACCGGTGGCAATCCCGATAATTCTGCTGGAATGTCTTTTTTAAGTGTTGAATTTAGTTTTTGCGGATCTTTGCACTGCAAAATATATTATGTAAAATAATTTAGCCTATTACTGCTAAATGTATACTAATATGTCTTTGATGCTGCTTACTTGGCGGTATAAAGTCGATAAGCATATCAACAGTCAAAGCTTTCAGATTGCTGTTATAAGTAACTTCACATTTAGAATATCGGTTATACATTGTGACTTTTAACAGTTTGTTTAATATCGAGACAACGATTTTATTACCTTGGTGCTTTTATATCTGGAGTGCATCATGTATATGCGCGATAAATAGTACACACATCCCTAAATGAACTGTTTTCTTTTTCTTTTTAATATATTAATCATCGTTGGAAATCGTTAAATTTATCTTCCTGTCAATAATACCTTTCGCTGGTGCGTGGGTAGGCAGGTCTCTGGCCTGAGATGTTAGGGTTGTGGTGCCATTTTTTCTCCAGGATTAAATGCTTGCAGTTTGACACCAATGTTAATGATTGTTGTTTTTCTTTTATTATTACTGATGAAACCACTTACTGTATAAAATATTAGATATGTTTCTATTTGCATCAGAAGTATAAAACCCTCTGTGTACTGTAAGCACATTGCTGAATATTTTATAATGTCAAAACACCACGCTTGCACGCTCTGGTATTGGGTAGTTTGTTTCAGCTTTCAATAACCATCCATGCACTAAAGTGTTCCAACTTCAGCTGAACAGGTACAGTGAAAGTGATGATAACTAAGTTGACTTGTGATAAAGGCAAATAAAAGACATTTTGGATGTATATACCCCTGAGACTTTGTCGGCATTAACGTAACACGCCAGTAAATATTCTTTTCTCTTATGACATTCTGGGAGACTTTTGAATTCCTTCACATGGAGGTGTCAGCTCTTGTGAAAGTAGCAGTTTGGTGACGGGATGCTGTTAGCGGTGTCGTAGGCAGTTGAGAAATCCCACCCAAGGCATTTCCACAATTACCGTGGGCTCCTGCACCTCTAGGTTCTGTCTTCAGCAAAGGAAGTTTCAGCGGCGGGGTATTGTTAAACAGGATTAAGAACCATGCTAATATTGAAGCGTTCCATGAAATGACATTAGTCCACATAATTAAAAACATTGCCGAGAGGGCTCCAGAGAAGCACAACATTCCTAAAAGGATGGAAAATGAACTAATGCTTTATCGTGCGAAAGTGCTGATTTCGTGTTTTGCAAAAGTACGTTACCAGTGTGAGCACTGCCCAGAGCAGCATCTCAAGTTTACTTTCAAGAAAAAGAAATAAGAATAGTTTTCACAGAATCATTTGTTCAGAGAGTACTGTCAGACTTTGGGAGTGCTTGAACCACCGAATACAACAGTAAAGGTGTCGGAAGGCATCAGTTCTGTAGCAGGGATTTGTCTCTTTTTGAAGTCAAACTCAATAACTGAGGTGGAAACCTTGTATTTATCCATTTTCCATGCCTGAAAAAGTGCCCCAGAAGCCAGTTTTTTAACATTACCAAGATGACTGACTGCTTTGTATTAGTTGATGCCTTTGTCAACATCAGAGCAGTAAATCTTCCAAGTTACATGTAGTTGTCAGAATGACAAGCTGCCTATAAAACTCAGTTATTAGTAACTGGTGTTACAGTACCTCTCGGCTCGTGGGTCATAAGAATAAGGAATAAGGTCATAAGGTTACATGAGAGGCCTTTGGAACTGTTTGGAAAGGAGGCACTAGACCTGGGATCTCGAGCCCAGGTAGTCTTCCTAGGTCTCCATGAGTCGAGTATTTCAAAATGTGAGCACTTGTAATTTATCAGTTCAACTATTAAGGAATGACTGGTCCCTGGGCTAAAAGGCATTCAGATTTCAAATCCTATCCTGGAGTCCTTGCACTGGTTTCCTGTCAAATTCCATGTGGACTTTAAAATCCTCATGCTCACCTGCATGGCTTGGCACCTCAGTACCTGTCTGAACCATTATCGCCCTACTCCCCACCTCACACCCTTCGCTCTTCTAACTCTAGTCTACATTCTATGGGTGACAGGCCCTTCTCCTGTTATGCCTTCAAGCTCTGGAACTCTCTCCCCAAGGATATGAGAGAGTCACCTTCTCTGAACTCCTTCAAATCCAGACTCAAAACCCTCTTCTTTAGAAGAACCTTTACTTAACTGGTTCCATTCTTTACCCCTCTGCTCCTACTTTATTTAGTACCTCTATCCACAGTCTCCTCTGTGTATTGTAATTGTGTTTTATCTGAAGTGTTCTTTTTATTTATTGTCATTCTGTAAAGCGTCTTGAGAAGCCACCTTTAAGGGTTCTATATAAAATATTTTATTATTATTTGTTGATCTCAATGATGTATGCATTGCTTAATTAAACAAATCTCTTTTGTTATCACACTTTAATTTATCCCTGGTTTTCAAAATTGCTAGTTTATGAAGGTTATGGTGTTCTCCTACACTAGATTCTAGGAAGTGTCTTCTTTCAGATGATAATATAGTGCATTTTACATATAGGATTAGGACCCACTTCATCCACCATTGCAGTGCAGTACCTACCTGAGTGATGTGTATCAGCAAATTGGTTAAACAATTTTCACTTCACTTCACCAGTTGCACTTGAGGGAAGCTGGATGGTACAGGCTCAGAATAGAATTTAGCTAAGATATCTGTCTAGGACCAAGAATTTAGCCAGTATCAGGATTTCTTGATTGCTGTACTGCAGTCATAATTGAACACAGTCTATACAGTGGAGTTGAATTATCGTGGAAAATTCTGTAATTTTGCATTTTTTTTTAGGTGTATATATTGTAGAGTGAAACATCGTGATATATGTTCTAGCCGTCATCCTGTAGCTAAGTATTTTTATTATTTGCTGATGAACAAGAGGATGTAAAGTGAACACTGAGTGTATTGTATGCTGTATTATAGTTTGCTGGAAAATATAAAACGTCGCATGACATCTCATTTTCATTGAGTATTTTTGTCTGCTGCATGGAGGTCACAAAGAGCTGTTTGTACGTGTATATATCTGCTTTTTGATATGTTTTATTCTTTCCTCTAAAAAGAAAGTTGTGCGAGGAACAGGCTTTCACCTATTTGAATGATGCTGTGGTGAAACCAGTTTTTACAGTGGTGTTTTTGTAGGTTTCTCCAACCACAATTCTGTATTGTGTGATTGAGTGTGCACCATCTTTAAAACCTTATTAATTTTATCACTGTGGGACCTGGAGTGGTATTTTAGCAAGCTTGGAGGTGAGTTTCAGAGGTGTGCCCGAACTGCACAGCAACACAGTGTGTGGTCAGACCACAGAGCATGAAGGAAACATAGTCTTTCTGCTAATTTTTAGTTATCCTGAGGAAACAATAGAAGTTCTTAGACTGTAGAAGACATCTGTTTTAGGTTTCAGGGGTTTCTGCGGATTTCATGGGAGAGCTATTTCTGCTACACAATGTAATCTTCAAACAAACGTCAGTGAGATTTTTTTCACATCCCCAAACCCTGGCAATCAAATATTTTTCTGGCAGAATAGGTACTCAACTACACATTAGTGTGTAGTTAAAATTAACCAGAGAGCCTCTCATACTTAACGCACCAAATGACAAAGGGTAATGGCCAGGATTGGGGGAGAGGGAATAAGGATGGTTTTATTGGATTACATGCATTTTTGTATGCATCACTTACACAAAATATTGTGATACTCAAATTGTAAGTTGAGAATATCTTACAAGTGCATTCTCCATAGATCCCCAGCCCGTAGTGCTGCTATTGAGAGATGTTGGCAAGATGTGTAGTGTCAGTAATGCTCTTAAGGGCTGGACTGTTGAAGTGAGTTGCATTTTGGAACATTTGCTTTGGCAGCAGGCAAAGCAGGAGCAGGGGG